CCCCCCAAACGCATGACGATTCGTATTATCTGGTTTACGCATAGCTTTTCTGCGATTTACGCTCTGTATATCTTAAGCGTAGCTTAGACCCCCCCCCCCCAATACATGTTGCTGGATCCGCCACTGGGCGATGCCAAAATTAAAAATCATTTTTTGGGTCAAAAACACCCATTTTGGGGTAAAAATTCAAAAATGCGTTTGCATCAATTTACTCATCTTCAGTTGACAAGCAGAGTTTAAATATATACTAGTAGGTTGACCTAGTTTTGACTTTGCGTAACGTCACAATGACCGAAAATGTGGAAAGGTCAACACACTTTTCCTGAAGGGACAACTTTCATAGACCAATAGACCATTATGCCAGTGAAAATACATTTATGTCAGATAAGATGGGTTTATTGATCAACTTTATCAAACTTAAAAATGATTATTATATCAACATTGATTCAGAGATGGAGGTGGTTTGTTGCGGTTCTAATGTTATTGTTATTTATTTTATTTCTCATATTTTTTTATTATTTTGTAATTGTTGTTTTTATCATTATTATTGTGTTATTTTTGGACATTCGTGATAACTAAATAACTAAATAAAAATATAACTAACTAACTAAATCAATAAATAAATAAATAAATAAATAAATAAATAAATAAATAAATAAATAAATAAATAAATAAATAAATAAATAAATAAATAAATAAATAAATAAATAAATAAATAAATAAATAAATAAATAAATAAATAAAATCTTTATATACATAAAACCTTCATTTGTATTTGTAAAATCAATCTCCATTTGAATTCCTAAACTCCCAATTCGTATTTGTAATACAAAGTTGCATTTGTTTTTTTATGAAATTTGTATTTGTATTCGTTACATCTTCATTTGTATTCATAATTCACTTATTTGTAATTGTTAGAGGGCAGTCTGTTGATAGACATAGTTGTATGTGTAAAAGTTCCATTTGTATTCTTAGAATCATTTTCATCTGAACGCAGATGGCGCTCTTCGTCATCGACTAAGATTCAACACATGATAGGTTCCAAAATAGCGACAAGAACCAGCTCTCATTGGGTGCTTTGCAAAGCCAAAGGAAGTGACCCATTAATGTGTCTTTGTGGGACGGTGATTTACACTGATCCATCCTTGTTTACCAATTTCCAGGCGAAACAGGTTTGCGATATGTGATTGATTTCGGAAATGTTCAAATGACAATTTGGTACTTAGTATGAAGCAGTAAATGCACAGACACACGAGGACTGAAAATCCAAATAAATCGACCAGTACTATTTTTCATTATTTTTTCCCAGTAACATAATTACTATTTTAACAAAACAATATTTAATATACATCTGCCAATCAGATACGTAAAAAAACACACATACGACTAATTGTTATTGATCATACAACTTGAACACAGTATCATCTTTTGTATATCTTTTCTCAATAAAATATTTCTTTATTATCTCAGCAAATATATATGCCAAATTACCAATAATAACAACAACGATGATACCAGTCTATATTCTAGCGGTATGTGAACCTGCCTTCAAAGACGAGGCCTTATATCTTGGCAAATTCAAAATGTGTGTAAAAAACAGATGAGAAGGCTTTCAAT